GTTAGTGTAGAAACTCACTTTTGGTATCTGTCATACATTTTGAGCTACTTTAGTGACAGTTTTCAGCCAAGCCTTGGAAAATATACATCCCCTCCTTCTGCAAAAGTGGGAAAATGTAAAATTAAGTCAAGTTTATCAAGCACACAAATATGCATGCTTGATATATGTACCTCATCACAGGTAAATCTTACCACAGGTTTTAACACAAAAGCATGTAAGCATAGACTTCAAGGTGTGACCAGACACACCCATCTACTCCAGCATCCTAATCCTAAGTGACCTATAATGGAAGCTGAAGGGATGGATACAGGCAAAGGAAAGCACACACACAACACTGTGTCAGCACATGCTCCCCATTTCCAGTTTCCAAATAATAGGCCTTGAGACATCTAAAGGTGTCAGATGCATATGACTTGCTCCAGGGTATCCTGCCTGGCCTCTAGTTGCTCAAGATCATATACATACCAAGCCCAGAAGTATAGCTTAAATATCATAAGCAGCACTACAAACCTAGTTTGTGAAGCTGAATCAAACACCCAAATTTAGGTGTCTGTTTCAATGGTGAATCCTGCTCTTGGTGTTTGGAGCATCTCTTCTGCAAATCTTCACAATTCACTTGAACAGTGTTTATTGTCAGTAATGCTCCATCATTAGCTAGTCCAATATTCAGTCACTCACACAGAAATTTTGACTTCTGGCAGTTTAAGAAACTTCCTCATGCGCACCAAATAAGGTATAAGTAGCCAAAAGTTTAAAAGTTTTGACTTTCAGTGATTACAGTATTAGGATACTCTTACTGCTGTAGTAATGATGTATGTATAAAGAATGTTTAATTATTAACTATCTTCAGTAAGGGTCTGAGGAAGGAACAGAAGCTACCCTCCAAAGCTTTTCTACTGATCACAAGAACCTTGAAAATTACCCCTTAAAGTACTAACATGTCTCAGTTCTTTTACAAGTTCTGTTACCAAGTTCTGTTACAAGCAATTAATGTAACATCTGAAGAAAAAACATTTCAAAGTATAGCTTCCACATAAGATTCTAAGCCTTAACCCACAGACAAAAAGTTAACTGTCCTCCAAATGTAAGACATGTTTAAAGCTCAAAGAGAAGAGGACTGAATTGCTAAAATATTTGGATACTGTTGGACAACTAAAAGATATTCTTTGTAGTGTGACTTTTTTTTTTTTGAGATAAATTACTCTTAGGAGCAAGTACAGTCCTTGTAAAAGTAGATGTGGTGCTTATTTCAGTCAAGCATTTCCAACACAGGTTCTTTTTCCCTAATGCTCAAATCATCTATCTTTCCCAAAGCCTGACCACACCATCCAGCTGAGACAGGCTCCAAGATTATTCCCTTCTCAGGTAAGTACCTTGTTAGGGAAGCTAAATCACAATCACTAATATCCAAACAGGTTTTTCTTTTAGCTGAAAATCCATGTAACAGCTTCCTATATTAATAACAGGTTTGTGGTCAAGATTCCCATCTTATATCAAGATGATAAAGATTTAATTGACATAATTTTGATCCCAGTGACTGTGCCCCTCCACATATGTATATTCTCCCATAAACACTGTACACAAAGCTATACTGAGATCTGAGAAACACTTATGACATTTCCTTCCCCAGGGTCTCCTATTTCCACCTGTGGGTATTTTGCCACCAGCACTGTCACTACTAGTCACTCATTGCCACAGATATTACCCCTTTATGTACCTCTAATACAGTGTGAGCATCTAGGAGATGAGTGTTCACCTTAGCCCTTATGACACCACATGAATATGAACTAAATAGAATGAGAAGTATTTGACAGCCACAGGTTTTCTTTGAGTTCCTGGATACAGGCAACTTCCGGTTTCCCAGTGTGATCGTGTCCCATTCATATCTCTCATTATTCCAACATTGGTCTCACCAACTCAAGAAAGCCTCTCTGTATTAATCTTGAGTCTTCCCATCAATACAAGCACTGCTGTTACACTGACTTTTTCTTCCTTGGGGAATTTTGTTAGCATCTACTTTTTGATGGTTGTTTACAAGGATCCCTATATTTTCTTCTGTCAGTGCTTTTGCGGAATACCATCACTTCTCGCAGGAAGCCAGCCTGGCAGTCTTCATTTCTATGTACCCCAATCTTGATTTGTGGTTCTCTTTGGAGAAGTTCTTTTTATTATGTCTCAGACAAGGGAAAAACCACTAGTTTTTCATGCACCCTGTGACATTCAGTGAAATGCTAAGACATGAAGTTGCCCATCTTCTACCAACCGCTAAAGAGAAATCTGAAGAGATAAATTTTCCTTGTAATGACCAAGCAAGTAGGTATCCAAGAGAAACAAAAAAAATCAAATTATACAATTCAACAAGCCAGCTGTGAGATTACACCACTGACCTTTAAGATAGGTAATCCTTAAACAGGTTTTAAAAAAAATCTTCTTCAAGAAAGGTAAAAAGGCCATAATTACCTGCTCAGGGCAGAAACTTCCAGAGGGAGAATTTGCTGGGGTGTTTTAAGGAACATAAGGTTCTGCTCTGAGCAACTAGGCAAAGCAAAATTCTAATGAGCTGCAAAAGTAACTGAAAGCAGCAGTGGAGTAAGCAGAACCTGTTAATTATTACACATTTATAAAAAAAAATTTAATGAAATAACATTGACTAACACAAGTTAGTAGGAACCACATTCTAAACCCTAATTTTTCATTCCACTTCTAGTGCAATGTTGCAAGCCCTGCAAGCAGAACGGGAATGAAGAATTCTGAGAACATCCCTCAAATTTACTAAACTCTTCTTTACTAGAGTATTCTACACCAGCTACAAATCAACACAAATGCCAATACAGGCATATATACTTAAAGTTTACTGTACATTTAGCTGCTTTAAAAAAAAATCAGCTACACATGATATTTGCCCATAATTCCAGACTGAATGCAATTGATTCCTACCACACAGGAGACTTAATCTAAGCCAAAAATTGTATTTCATTAAGAAAACGATATTATGGAGCATCTGAGATCATGTAACAGACAAAAGAGTATGCCAGAGAAATTTTAACTGCCAGTACCCCACAGTGACTGCCTGATTATTTGCAGATGGGATATGGAAAAATTGTGAAATTATTGGAATTTTGGGTCCTGTATGAAAGCATTACTTCAGACTGCATGTGTCATGGCAAATGTCTATTATAATTTGAATACATTCTTAGATTTTGCTTTCAGTGCTTAGAACTGGCTATGCTTACTTCTTTAGACTTATTAACTGAAAAAGACTGCATTCTTCAAGGCTCAAAACAAAACCCTTAGGTGATCACACAAAACAGTGCCAGTAAGTCAACTGTCAATACTGATGGTATTTATCCAATAATTAAACTAAAAACTAATTTAAATCAATCTCCTTTGGAAAAGCCAACTGCTCAACAAGCACAACAATTGGTCTAAGATCAATCAGTGAACATGAGATCAATTAAAACCAGCTTAAGTTTTTGTAGAAGGACAATTCACACAACTCGAGTTAGATGTCTATTCATTTCAATACTCCCACAATGCAGTCCTTAAGCTCTGTTGTAAAGCAGAAATGCCACTATCACACTCCACTGTCTAGCCAGCACTCTAAGTAGTTCCACATTTAATTAAAGACACAGTATACTCTTTGTTAGCACAGATAGTCTGGTCACTTTAAAAGACTACTATCGTTTTAGCCACACACACAGAAATTAAATTCTGGAAACCATCTGTTGAAAAACCATCAAAACTAAATTGCTTTACAATTTTATTTGTACCTACTCTGAAGGCAATATATGCATGAAAGTACAAACTATTTTCTTCTCACAGTTTTATTATTATTTGTACCAGTTTAACACTGGAGATCTTAAGTTCCTCCCCTTCCAAATAATACCACGAAAAGTGCAATTCTTTCAGAAATACGGATTTCTCAGCAACTTGAGCCACCTGATTTTCAGCTAACTTTAGAAATGGGAAGAGGAGGCATGGCCGAGAAAACAACAGGAAAAGGGATAGCAAAATAATTCAGAATATGTGGATAATAAAAACATTTTATAATAAGGTGAACCTACCCACCAGAAAAAAAGAAAAAAACCCAAACGAAGCCACGGCCAGGCTGCCAGCCGGGAAGCGCTGCAGTAACGTCTCCGTCCACACGGGAGCTGTACTGGCACATTGCACCGCTCCGGCTGCTGAGCTCCGACACCCTGACACCAGCGCTTTAGGGAAAGAGATCAAGCCCCAACGCACCGTTTATCTCTTTTCCTCAGAGGGATCTGGACGTTTCCAGCAAAGTTGGCGGCACAGAAGTCCCCTGGGCGCTGGGGAAGGCGCGGTTCGCTCGGCCGGCCGAGCCCCGCGCGAGCGGCACGGCGGTACCGGAGGATAAAAGGGGAGAAGCCGCCTTTCTGCCTCGGAAACGCGGTCGCTCTAAGGATGGTCCACGGAAAGCAGCTTCCAAGTCCGTCCCATGGACACGCGAGTCTGAACTGTGCGGGCAAACAGCGAGCCCTCGGACGCTGGGAGCTGCTGGACGAGGAGCGACGGCGGCATCAGCGACGTTCCCTGCTCCTGCGGCCCCTCCCGCGGCGGGAGCTCCCAGCGAGACCCCGGCCCCGCGGGGAGGGAGGACACGGCGCGGGGGGCGTGCGCCCACCGCTCCACATCCCGCAGCTCCTAGCTCGGGACGGTGCTTTCCCATCGGAGCTCACGCCGCTCCTCCCGCTCCCGGCCCGACCTCCCCAGCGGGAGGGCGGCGAGCAGCCCCGCCGAGGGGTCACCACGCCGGCTCGGCCCCGCGCCCCCCGGCTCGCCCCCGCTGCCGCCCCACGTGCCGGCCTGGGGCCCGCGGGGCCGGGGCGACTCTCACCTGTCGGGGAGTGGCCCTTCCCGGGCGGGGAGACACAGTAGCGACAGGAGCGCAGCCCCCCGGCAGTGTCCGTCTGCCCCACAGGCGCTCCCGCCGCTGCCCCGGCCGAAGTCCCGGGAGAGCCGGCGGCGCCACTCACCTCTCTTGCTGCGTCTCCAGCGGCCGGGCTGGCAGTGGCCGTAATCCATGCAGTTCAGGATGATCAAGGCAAAGGAGAAGAGGCGAAACTGCATCCTGGGCCGCTGGGGTGGGCAGCCTCCTCCGGCGGCGGCGAGGGGCGGCGAGGCCGGCGGCGTGCTGGGCGAGGAGGGGCCGGCGGAGGGTCGTGGGGCAGCGGCTGCCGGAGGTGACTGCAGGAGTTTATACGCCTCTTGCCGCCCTTCTCGGGCGCTGTGAACTCACCGCCGCTTCCAGCATCTCCGCTGTGCTGCAGGGAGAGAGAGAGGGGAAAGGCTTGGCCCCGGGCTCTCCTGGCTGCTCAGGCTCTCCCCAGAAACAAACAAACAGAAAAAAAAATCGCAGCCCAGGTCGGGGCAGGAGCGGGGCCGTAGAGCGGAGTCACCGACGGCCCCAAGTGTGTCCCCGACCGGCGGGCGAGTGCTGCCGCCCCTGACCCGCGCGCCCCGGGACAGGCTGTCAGCCCGGGGACAGCGCTATTTATCCCGGCGCGGGGCTCCCCGCCCACACGCGCTCAGGTCGCGGGCACGGCGGGGCGAAGCCGCCCCCCAACCCCCCCCCGTACCTCCCGCGGCGCGGCCCTGCGGCCACCCCGTCCCGCCGCCGGGTCCGGAGCGCGGCCCCGCGCGGCGGGGCAGCCCCACGCGGGCCGGCCGGGGCGCGG